ACCCAACAAAACTCTCCATCTTACTCACCCTAGAAGAGATGCCGAGCTAAACCGGATGGAGAAGAATAATGCGCTACTTACATCTTTAAAATATTAAAGGGCATAGGACCCGACTCAGCTAAAGATCCATATCACAAGGTCCGTTCGGTTAAACCCCGCACTCGAAGAGACCCAGCCGGTCTCTAACTAAGACATCCCTAGGCATAAACCCATCGTTACAAGCGAAGTCGATCTCAGCTAAATCACATAAAAACACGGACTTGAACACCAAGCCCATCTTTGTTACGATAAGTGTCGGCCGATCAACATTAGTAACATCGCCACAAAGAGTAGCTAACCAACGCTGAAAGTCACCTCCCGAGATCACACATGCCAACGAAAGATTAGACTCTAAATCGTCACTTGGTTCAAAGTTCTCAAAGAACCTCAGAAACGAGATAGACTAGAACAAGTATGAAAAGAACTAATTGCGAGAAAGACATTCAAGGCTGGAAAGAGCCGAAGTCATGGCGAGAACGCAACTTTGACCCTCACCTTGCTAAGAAATAAGCCAAGCCGAACATGTCAGCCAGGCTGATCTGCTCGGGGCAGCCCGCGCAAGGCTAAGAGATAGAAAAGTTTTGAAACACCTAAGTTAAAACGAGAAACCGGAATATCAGTCAAAAGGCCCAATGGGCCGAGCAACATAAAATAAAGAGTTGAAAAGCCCAAGGAATGGAAGAAACAAAGTTTAAAGCCTCCATGGGCAATCGGCAAAAAAAAAAGTAATAATAAAGAGTAATTTAGAGGAAAGAGAGAGAGGATCAGAGGAACAGGGGCAGCTCCGGGTGGCCATGTTAGCACGATTGGCAGACTCCGCAGAGACCTCAGGCAAGTCCAGCGCCCCAATTGAAAAGTCAGAGACTACCGCATTGGCCAAGGCCTTCTTCGTAGCCGGTGTTCTGCGGTGAGCCTCTTCATTTCCTCTGAAATGGTAGTCTTGCCCACGGAGAGATCCTTTAGGAGCTGGAGGTTTGCAAGCCGCTCCTGCAGGTGAATCTCCGCTGTGATTTTCGCCTCCTTCCTCCTGAACTTATCCTTCACGGCTTCTAGCTTGGCAGCCATCTCCGTACGCGCTTCCTTCACCGCAGTAGCCACGGCCTCTTCCTTTGATGTAGCCACTCTACGTACCTCCCATTTAAGGAAGCTAAGGAGGTCGTTGGCTGCCACCAGGTGCATCATAAAGTTTAGCTCTGCCCTCCTATCCACCTCGATATGGCGCCGAACTCTCTGCTCGTACTCCAGCTTGCGCCTCTCTAGGCGCGCCAAGCGATGGTTCGCCCCCTCCAGCCGGGCCCTCAGGTCATCCACTTCTGCCAGCGAAGGGGCGAGTTGGAAGCGCAGCTCGGTATCAGAGACTAGGGCATTGATGGCCCTAGCGGTCTAAAAGCAAAGTAAACAGAGAAGTAACAAGAACAAGTCAGAATAAATGGCGGTGGGGTTCAGAGCGAATCCTAGCAGAGGACAGAAAAAGGGAGGGGAAGCGGTTACCTCTTCTCGTAGAATTTGAGACCAGACTCTTGCGGGGGAGGAGGAGTAGGCCGCACAGGCTGCTCAGGAAGCTGTTCAGGCTCCTCTGGAGTCCTCCTTCCCCTAGCATCCCACGCTATGGAAGTCCCCGCAACCTCCCATGGGGAATGATATGATCCCACAGGGAGGAGAGATTCACGAGAAGAGCTCCTGGCTGAAAGGACCGCCTCCTCGTAAGTCAGGAGCAGTTAGGGGAGCCGCGGGTTCGGCCGGAGCAGGGGGAGCCGCGATGTGGAAAACCGGCTGAGGAACCTCCTAGACGCCACCGGGTAAAGCGCCGTCACCACCCATGGAGGAGCTTGTCTCCTCAGAAGAGCTTGTCGCCGGATCGACAAGAATTGTCTGTGACCTCCTGGCTGAGGTTGCGGAATCGTCACCACCACCATATTGGTACCCTTCTCATCCTCTTTAGATGCTCTCCCGACAGAGTGGTTGAGGAGGAGCCAGTGTCGTCAGCAGGAGGGGGATCGTTAGCGGAGCCGACCTTTTGGCGGACCGTCCCGAAATTTGGGCAGAGCTCGAAGGCCCCTTATAGACGGTCCGCGAGCGAGTCCGCTGGCGGATCGAGGGAGCAGCCGCTGGAGGTCTGAAGGAGACCCCGGGTAGGGCCACCGCCAGAGCAGCGTGCTACCGGAGTAGCGATAGCCTGGAGGACGTTGCGGTCGTGAGAGAGGCCGAAGAAGTGTTCTCTGCGCAGGTAACGTCGATTAGATCAGAAGACATCGACGAGAGAGTCAAAATTTGTTAAAAGAAAAAGGAGAAGTTAGCACTTACTGATGTTGGAGCGGAATCGGGTCGGAACCCGGCGAAAGACGTCCACCGATGATACTGTCTCTGGCGAGACCCAGAAAAAGAAAATTTTCTTCTGCCAGTTGGCATCACGGTGCGAGTATTTGCTGGGAACGACGGCGACCCCTCGCCTTTCCCTGGGAGTAAGGTAGAAGGAGCCCCTCACTGAGGAGTTGCTCCTAGCGACGTAGAAGTCGAAAAACTGGCTGGGGTTGAGGTCCATCTCGTCCTCATATGAACGAACATACGTCCCGATGACGTGATGGACGAAACTTGGGACCATCTGAGGGAAGGCCAGCCCAAGGAACTTGAGTATGTTGAGCAGAAAGAGGGGGATGGGGAAAGTTAGCCCGCAGGTCTAGAAATAGCTGAGGTAGGCGCAACACCAGCCTTCTTCGACCGATTTCGGCGTTTCCCACCCCATCGGGAGGCGAAATTCGATCGAAGGAGGGGCCGCCAAAGTCTCTCGGAGGTCGATGAGATCCTGGACAGTGGTCAGAGACGGTTCGTAAGGGCCGAATTGAAGTTCGGAACTGGAAGAATACATGGTTTCGGGTGAGAGTTTAGGCACGGAACGATTTCTGTGAAGAGGTGAAAGGGTAGAAGAGTTTCGGAGGTGAAGCCAAAGGATAAAAGTGAGATCTGGTATGAAATTAGGGTTAAACCAGTTTATTTCTGAGAAGAGAAAGTGGTTATTAGTGGTAGGGTCCACGGTAAAAGATCGAATCGACATCGATGACGTCATACATATGGGTTGTTTCTTTTGACGCGGTTCTAATCTTTCACTTTCCCACGTCCCTAGCCGTCAGATCAGGATCGTACGATCCAGGCGAATTGTGAAAATCGCGCTTCAGCGGTGCGTTGTGATGATGAGTAACCGCCCATCAAGTATTATTATTTAAATACTTAATGGGCTGGGGGCAACTGTTCGGACTGGATTCGTCACCGAATCCGGCCCACTTAAAAGCCCAGGTCAAAATTTATTATTTACAGAACGTTGACCAGAATTAATGGGCCTGCGGCCCAAACCCGAAGAATTAGACATTATTTCTTTTAAGGCCCAAGTCAGCCCCGAAAGGCCGAGTCAACAGGTGCGTGGATAACAAGCTGAGATTGAGCTAGGAGCGAGTCAACGGAGCAGTTATCTCAGTCGTAGGAGCGAGATTCGCGGGGAATATGCCGAGATCGTGCCCGAGATATGCGGAACCGCCCTGGAAACGTGGATCTAGATTGAGGAGCTGAGCTATAAATAGAGGAAATCCAAGCAGATACTCTACTTTTCTTTTAATCATAAAGCTTATAGACATTTCTTAGGACCAAAGTTTATTCTCCAAATTCACATACAAATACTTAGTACAGAATTCAGCTTCCAAAGTAAGTTAATATAAAATAAAAAAAAATTTAAATAAAAAATATTCTGAAAATTTTCCTTTTTTACTAAATTTAATAATTCTATAAATTAGAATATCATTGTCTCAATCCAACATTATTAATAGTAATGCTTTTATGTTTTTAATTAATTTTAAATGAACTAGAAAAAGAAAAAAAAACCCGACCCGGTTCTTAAGTCTTAACCTACCCAGTTCTTGTCTTGTTATAAAATGCTTCTATGAAACCCTAATATATACAGCCGCGACTACCACCATCAAACACTCTCGTCCTCGCACTCACAGTTCTGAGTTTATGGGTTTTCCCTTCCTCTCTTTTTCTGTGAAGAAAGTTTATATTTGTTTTTCTTCTTTTTCGATACTTATAAGCACACAATAGCCCCTTGCATCTTCGAGTTTATAGATGTGAGGAACAATTCGAGAAAAGGGTACTCAATTGGTGCAAAATATTGGCAATTACGCTTCTCTGTTGTCTCTTTAGGGTTGTTTGATAGCTGAACTTCCCAGAAATTGCGTATTGGCCAATAGAAAATTCCG